GTTATATACATCAGTTCTTTACCCTTAAATACTTTGGCATGGATTTCTGAAGAATTGGGCTTTGCTCTACAGTTCTTAATTTTATAAGTTTACATTCACATAATACTTTAATTTACTCTCCATATTCCAAATTTTTTAGTTGATCTAATAATGTCCTTCCAGTACAGGTTCAATTTTAGGGTCAGGTGTAGCATTTAGTCATCATGTCTCTTGAGCTGCTTTAAATCTGGAACATTTCCCAGCCTTTCTTTGTCATTTTTGACATTGACATTTTTAAGGAATGTAACTCCTCCACACCCCTACCTTTTTAAAAAATAGAACACTTTTCATTTCTATTTGTCCAATGTTTCCTTATTATATTGAGTTTATATACTTTCAGTGGAACTATTGCATAGACGACACTGTAATTTTCTCTGGGCAGTTACATCTGGAGGTGCGTGAGGTCCATCTGTTCCTCACAGGTGATATTAATATTGATCACTCGGCCAAGGGGGTGCCTGATTTCTCCACTGAAAATGTTTAATCATCTTTTTGGTTTCTTGCAGTAGGAACTGTGTATGGGAGATACTTTAAGACCAGGCAAATATCCTATTCCTCACTAAAAATTCCCCTTAGATTTGGCATCTATTGATGATTCTTGCTTGATCCAGTCATTACCACGAAGGTCACAAAATGATGATTTCCCACCTAGCACCCTGTCCACGTACTCCAGTTGTCCCTCATATGGCTGCATTATGACTTTCATGAGCCCTCTGCCTTCAAGGGCCCCTTTCTCCATAAAAAATGTTTTAAATCATATTTTATGACTGTTGGTATAAAGATGAATATGATCCAGCCTGGATTTATTGTTATTACATTTATTTTTCTTCTGATTTTTTTTAAAGGAAATAAAAATTAAAGCATTTTCATGGGCCTTTAAAAGTATTATGTGCTTTAGACACTGTGCCTAATGGATAAATTGGCTCTGGGCCCTTAGCCTTTTGCTCTATGCAAGAGACTTCCCTTCTCCCTCACTTATTTATTCAGCTGACTGTTTTATCTATCTATCTATTTATCTATCACCTATCTAATAATGATATGGACTCATAGATTGCTATTTTTTTATAGTTTATAATTCATTACTGTTTTTACTTGGTTTGGGGCTCAAATTGTCCCAGATTTGGCCAGTGGGATCCTTATCAAGGATGGCTGCCGTGTCCTTGCCACAGGCTCCCATCATCTTTAGCATTTATTTTCTGGCATAACAAGATGTTCTGGGCTCCAATTGTACCTACCTTGTTCCAGCCCTGCAATCAGCCATTTCTCAAAGGAGTCCAGGTTCCCTATAGTAAGCAAGGATATTAGAAACTAAGATCTAGGTACTAGACATGCTCTTGGTTTTTGCTGTTGGGTTGTATTTGCTTCTTGGACCTTTGAACAGCAGAGTTGGGAAATGTAGGCCTGTATATATATATATATACACACACACACATACATCTGCATAGATACATACACATGGGCTCATACATAAACATGTATATACATATGCATAGTTTGGGCATCATGAGTTCATACCAGTTTCTCTAATTTCAGCCCATCTCCACAGAATTCTTTCTTGCCTCCCCCATTCCATACTTACGTGTAGCTTCTTCCACAGCGAGAAACTTGGCTCCCAACAGTAGCGGCACATTTACTCATTTGCTCAATCCTAGATTGCATCTAAAATCGTTTCAGAAGAAACTTTGCCCATACCACTACGATTAACAACCCTACTAAAAAAGAGTTCAAGATTTGTTTGCCCTTTTCTCTCTCTACCCTGTTCAAAACTAAGAGTACATTGTCCTCATAAATCCCTTGGATTAGTTCCTTCTTTTAAATTTTTTTCCTATTCAGTGTGGTCATAGTAGTTATTTGAAATAAATTATGCTAATTTGTTTCCATTGGATTTTGGTTTTAGTTTCCCCCCCCTTCTTATGGATTTAATTTATTTTTGAATATGTAAAACATTAACATGCTTTCAAAACTTAAAGCTATACAAAGTTACACTCCAAGAAGGGTCACTCCCTTCTGTGTGACTTCCAGTCACTCCCCCTCCACCCCTGTTCCTTGTAGGATATACGTTTCACTGTTTTCTGGTTTAATCCTTCCTCTGTTTCTTTTGGAATGATGATGTGTATTTTCTTTCCCTTTTTTTCTCACACAAAAGGTAGCGGATTACATAGGTTCTTTTGCATTTTGCTTTTTTCATTTACCATCTTCCGGAAATGATTCCATGTAAGTCCATAGAGGTCTTCCTCATTCTTCACACTGTGTAGTGCCCCACTGTGTGATGTACTACAGTTCATTCAAACAACCTCTTTCATTTAGATATTTAGGTAATTTCCAGTATTTTGAAATTGCAAACAATGCTGCAATGTACAATCTTTTTCATGTGTGGTTTTTTATTATTGGAGCTGTAACTTTGGGATCAGCGTCAACACATGGGATTGCTATATTGAAGAGTGTGTTTGTATGTCATTGTGTCGCGTTCCCCAGCAATGTGAGAGTATCTGTTTTCCTACATGCTCACCAACAGAGTGTGTTGTCAAGCTGTTGATCTTCCTTTTTTTTGGCCAATCCACTAAGTGAGAAATGATGTCTCAATATGCCTGAATAATTTACATTTCTCTTATTATGAAATCAAATATCTTTATATATGTTTAAAAACTGTCTTTTAAAATTTCTTTATGAATTATCTGTTCATGCCTTTTGCCTATTTGTCTATAGGATTATCTTTTGGTCATATTTGTCTCCATTTTAAGGAGATCTTTAAGAAGTAAACTGAAATACTAACCCTTTATCTGTGGTACATGAACATTATTCGATCTCCCAGTTTGTTGTTGTCCTTTTGGCTTTTATGGTGTTTTTTGTCAGACAAAACATGTTTATTTTTATGCAATCAAATTTATCAATCTTCTATTTTTCTTGCCTCCAAATTTTAAATTATAGTTACAAAACACTTCCCTACACAGAAGTTAAAGAGGAATTCACCTAAGTTTTCTCCTAGAACTTGTATGGTTTTATTTATTTATTTGTGCATTTAACCCTTGGATCCATGTAGAGTTTATTCTGTGTATGGTGTGATGAATGGTCTAATTTTACTTTTTTCCAAATGGCTCTCATATTTTTTAAAAACACCTAGAAGGTAATTCTCTCAAATCTTGATAATCATTAGTTGTAGGTGCTTGGAATATAGATGATTTTGTTTTTCTTCTTTTCTCTTTTTTTCTATTTTCCAAGTTTTTGTTAATGAGTTGTGTTTTTTTTGTTCTTTTTTTTACACAGGAGGAAAGATTTAAAAAAGAAATAGAGAGCTGGAACAAGAGCTCTGGCATTGTGGAGGTCAGGAGTCCCATCAGTATTGCTTTCATGCTCAGAACCCTGGCAGCACCTGTGGTCTTTACTCACCTTGGGACTGGCTTTACACTTTTTGTGTTAGTTCTGTCTAGCAAATGTGAATGTTCTCTCTTCAGTTAGACTGTGAACTTCTTGAAGTCAAAACTATTGATTAACAGTGACCGCACATTGCATAAATGCACATCCAATATATTTACTAGGCAAATTTCTGGTTTTTACTTGAGTACATATGGTAACTATTTTTATAGAATCCCTGAATATGTCATTGTATCTAACAGTGTTGGATAAATACTGGTATACTTATTAAATAGTTGATTTCGATATTCCAGCCTGGACCACAGAAAGTAGTAGTAGACGTAATTCTCTTTCTTTCTCTTCTTCGTCTAGGTGCCAAATGATTTTTACACATATGTAGTCCAGTCTCAATAGGGAGATTGCACATTAACATGCTAATAGGCTTAGGAAGTGGAGGAAATAGTTTTTAATGTTTTTAAAATTTGAGCTCCATCTTGCTCCTCATTACACTTTGCTTTATGCAACAGTGCCTTCTAGAAAACTTTTGAGTGGATAATTTTTTAGTTAATTGTATCATGACCTCAACATTGGCTAATTGGTGATAAATTAAAAAATATGTATACATATATTCATATATAAACGTTCAAACACATACATACAGCCCTTCACCAATACTAGCTGGACTTCCTTGTCCTCTTCTACAAACCTAACCTAAATTTTATTTTGTTTACACTTTTTACACTTTTTCTCCAAGGCTTTTGTTGCTATTTCTTCCAAGGTGATATTACCCATAAACAGTTTTAGGAAGAACAGCACACAGGGTGATCTCTCCAAGGACCTGTACCCCTCTGGAATGGCAGTTTGTGCTTGCTTTGTCTGATAGAGTTTTCTCCTTGTCCTTCTGGTGAATCCCAGTTTAACCTTTAGAAATCGTACTTTATTATCACACCCTTTGTGACATGTTTCTTGAGAGAATGCATCCTCTGTACTGGTGCCTAAGGGATACCAACAATCTGAAGTTGATCAGAGGAGAAAGAGCCAGATAGGAGCCTGTAGGTAAGTGGTGTGGACAGAAACCCAGTGGGGGTAGGTTGAGAGAACAGCAGGTAGAAAATGGAGATAGCAACTATAGACAACCATTCAGGAAGTTTTGCTATGAATGGCAAAGATAAGCAAAGATAAGGAAAATGGGACAGTGGGTGAAAGGAGTATGGAGTCAAAGAAATTTCTTTTAAATGGATGATATTAAGTCATATTTATCCACTAGAGGAATAAATCAATAGGGAAAAATTGATGATGTAGCAGAAGGGAAACAATGGAATGAGTCCTTAAAAAGGCAAAAATGGTTGTTTTTTTGAAGTATAGTTGGTATATAATATTAGATTCGTTTCAGATGTTTAACATGAGTCAACAATTATATACATTGTGAAATGCTTACCATGATAAATGTAGTTACCGCCTGTCCCCATGAAGACATTGCAATATTGGCTTTGGATAGGAGTGGAAACAGTTTTTCCAGTGTAACAGAGGCAAGGCAGAGGGTGAGTACAGGTGTGGAATGGCTCACATATTTGATGGTGGAAAGAAGGGGGAATGCCTGTCAGATTTTTTCTTTCTTCTACGACAACAGAGTTGAGTTCATCAAAACAAAATGTCTGCTTACCATTTATGTGTAAGATGCATAAAGGAAGTAAACTATATACTTTCTAGATAGTCTTGCCCAAGATACTGTTTCAGTATCTATTGTAGTTTAACAAACTATTTCCAAACGAACTGGTTTAAAACAGCAATTTATTACTTCTCACTACTCTGTGGATTGACGAGGTGTTGGCTGAGGTGCTGAGAAGGGTGGAATGACTGACACGGCCTCACTCGTACGGCTGGCAGTTGATGCTGGCTGCTGGCTGGAAGCTCTGCTGGGGCTGTCAGCCAGGGGTCTTGCTTTTCCTCCAGGTGGGCTTTTTCGCACAGATGCTTGGACTTCCTCACAGCGTAGTGGTCTCAAGGGAGAAAGACTTCTCACATGTTGGACTGCTGGGTCATTTGGAGGAGATTCCATATTAAGGTAATTTCAGCTTTGGGGCCCACATTTTAAAACTTAACCATCCAATCTGTAGCTGGAAAACCATACCCATATTTTGTCTTATTAATTAAAACTGTCTGATAAGAATTCTTGACAATAACAACAATAGCTGTGATTTTTCTTAGACCTAGAAAATAAGCAAAGCTTCATTTCTCCTTTGGTGACCTTTCTCCAGGTAGAAAACTGCCACCTGTTACCACGTCTGCTCTTACTTTTCTATGTGTGTGACAGATTTATCCTGGGTGGAAAATTTTAAAGTTCCATTTCCCCCTTACTAGTTATGGCGATTTTCTGATGCACTGTCAAGTACGAAAAGAGGGAACATTGAAGGAATTTTTACACACAGGGGAAATGAAGAGCTCTTGCTTCTGACTCCATGGATGTAAACACAGAAAATATGAATTATACTCAAAACTTTGCATCCTGAGAGAATGGAGAAAAAGGGAAGCTAACTTGCAGTATGTTCACAGGAAGAAACAGTGGAGTCAGAAAAGTAAGAAAGAGCTAACTGATAAATGAGAAAAAATAGATAGCTTCTGGGAAAAACCACTTGGTCCATACAGATAACCCTATAGTTTTCTACTTCAAAGAAGGTGAATTGTAAGCATTGTAGTTCATTTTAAAGGGAATTCTGTATTCCCCTGGACTTAATATCACAAAATTGCAAACTAAAAAATACCTGAACCCAAGTATAAAGTTCCACAGGAATAATGTCCTTTTGGTGAGAAAATGATGGGTAGGGGAACCAATCCATGTAATATTGTAAACTTGTATCATACTTGTACCCTTATATCTACTAGAAATTATGGTTCCAAGTTGGAAAACTATCTCTGCCACTGTTTCCTGCATTTTATAGCACTTTCCCTTCTTTTGTCCACAACTTCCCCTGGCCAGACAATGGGAATTTATTTCATCTTTAAGGTTCCCCTGCAGGGCAGGTCCAATAAAACTTTCTATGATGATGGAAATCTTCTATATTTTCACTGTTTAGTACAGTAACCTCTAGTCATATATGGTGATTGAGCACTTGAAATGTAGCTAGTAATGAGGAATAAACTTCCACATTTTATTTCATTTTAATTGCTTATAATTAAAATTTTAAATAGCCATGTGTGGTGTGGCTGCATACTGGATGCCATAGCCTGATGTCTCTCTTGTAGCTCACAGAATTCTGCTCTTCTCCTTTTCTCTGAAATCTGAAAAAACCGAGCTGCCCTATCATAATTCACTAATGGGCATTGCCCTATCATAGTGTTTATTTGTTTAATGTCTGTATCCCAAGCTCCTTAGGGGCAAGGGCTGAGGTTATTTTTTCTTACTTTTATGTTATGCTCAGCACCTAGTCTAGTATCTTGAACTTGAATGTAATAGGTCCTCAATAATTATGTGAGTATATGAGTGGATTAAAAAGTATCTATATACCCTTGGTATAAATGAGGGCTCCACTATCTACTCTGTGTGTGTGTGTGTGTGTGTGTATGTGTGTGTGTGTTATGAGAGAGAGGTTTCTCAAGAACCTAAAGATGTGGAGAGGAGACCCAGACCAGGTTATTAAAGAGAAATAGAGGTGGCTGTAGAAAACTCTGGAATCAGAAATTGACTTTATTAGTAAGACTCTTCTTAAGCATTCCCTATGGGACAGTATCCCAAGAACTTTACATAAAGTGTCTTACATAATCCTCATAAGATGACTGTGGAATAATTACTATTATCCCCATTTTATAGGGGGCATGGAGGAAAAGAGTAACTTACCCAAGGTCATACAGCTGTAAGTAGTAGAGCAAGTGTTTAAATTGCAGCCATCTGACTTCAGCGCCTACCTTCTTACCCATAATGCTGTATTTGCTTTCTGTTTCATTGTGTCCATATGGTGACAAGAACTTAGTGACCTCAAATGTCTACACCCGGCTTTTATCTAAATTTAAGCTTCAGTAAGCCAGTGTCTCCTGGAGGTTTAGGCCTCTTTCCAGGGGTGCTTGCAGGCTGGAGAGTGGGGTTAGCAGGACTGAGGATAATAGGCTAGGAAAATCTGGACAGGATTCCTTTTCTCAAAAAATCAAACAAATACTTTACTACCAGGATTTTTTCAACTTGTATATAATAAAGAGAAAATAAAACCATTTTTTTAATAAAACAAAATACAAAATAATCGAACACCCTCCTCTAAATCTCTTGTCTCTTAAGAAAGATAAATGAAAGCTAAGCATTAACTACAATCTGATTCTGAATTAATGAGTTTTTTTAGCTTTCCCTCTCCTCTCCTCTCCTCTCCTCTCTGTCACATATCCAGTGTTCCACAGATAGTCCACAGTTGATATTCCTATTTAGTTGTTTCTTTAATTGTTTCATGTTAGGATATTTATCTTCCCATGCTAATTATACTCTGCTTGCCACCCCCCTATCTCCCCCACCCCACCCAGACCCACTCTCTGCCCTACCCTGTCTTGCTCTGAACCCTGGAGCATTGACCTCTTTGGCTTCCGTCACCTGAGCTCCCTTGTCCTCTGGCTTCCGATGGGTCCAGCAGAAGCTTGGCATCAGGGTAGGAAGAAGAGCCGGAAGAGAGATATGGGCATTTCTTCTCCCTCCTTTCTCCCTCCTTTGGTGCCACAGCCTTGCAGCAGCTGGCGGACAGCTCTTCCCACGTGGCTCATGGCACTTACTGGGGTCCTTCCCACTTTCTTCTCCTTGACCCTAGGCACCTCTGGGAGTGAAAGTTTTAAATTTTGCAGTCCATGGGTGTCTCTATATACCTGTTTCCTTGAATCTGCCCACATCTTTGTAAATAGCCCCTTTAATAAATTATTTTCAGTAAACTGTTCCAAGTAGGATACTATTTCCTGGTTGGGATCCTGCTGGAATATTTGCCCTTTTACAGTCTTTCCAATTTCTTAAAAGCATGAAAGAGGCCTAGATTTCCAAATCAGTATAAGATTAAATAAGCCTCAGGTAGATTGGCCCACAGATTGGATCATGAGCTTTTATCACTCTGTTTCTAACGCTGTTCAGGGAAGAGAGACTCTCTTAAGTATTGTATGCCCTGTTATAAGTATCAAATAGTTCATTGGGGTTTTTTATAGCTTGAATGAGGTGACCTCAAGATTATTCATTCCCTTTGAGACTGATCATCAAGCAGCCTTGTAATTACGAAATTGCTTTCCTTGGTAACTTGATCTAGAGAAAGGGGGACCTTGGAGGGTGGATGCAGACATTGTAGATCCTACAAATCTAATCTTCTTTTATATTAATCAAATCAATACTTTTAAAGAAAGAAAAAAAACAATTTTCCATATTTCCCCTTTCCACATGCATGATATCTTTTTCTTTCTGGCTTGTGTTTCTCAAATATGTGTCTTTGTTTTTTTTTTTTTGCTTATGGCTTCAGCTCAATGTTAAAATGAAAATTCCTGTTACCCGGATCTATGAACTAATTTGTATCTCTGCTCCGACACTGTATCCGTATTCGGTCTTCCTTCCTGTTGGAACAGCAGAACCACTTGTCCTGTGTGCTCTCCCTGCCCGTCCTGTCTTGCCTTCTGGAGGGCTTCCTTCTGCACGTACCCCCTTTCTCCCACAACGATTTCTGCCTCCTTACTGAAATATTCCCATTAGCATTCAAACATGCTGGAGCGTCTCCTGTTGTGGTTGAAAACCCTCCCTTGACTCCACCTATCCTCCAACTAGTGCTTCATTTCTCTGCTTGTCTGCACAGCAAAACTTTTTGAAAACGTTGTTTGTACTGGCTGTCACCACTGCCTTACCTTTCATTGACTCCATTCTGGCTTCCAGGAAGCCATCGCTCTACTGAAGCGAATGGAGTCAAGGTTATCAGTGACCTCCATGCTGCTGATTCTGTCGCTCTTTCTCATCTTACTCAGCCTCTTATAAACCCTGGACACAGTTGACCAGTCTCTGTAAAATACTCTCCTCTTGGCTTCCACAGTTTCCATTCTCTCAGTCTCCTTTCCTGACTCCTCCCCCGCTATTCGAATTCTAAATGTTGGGTCGCCCCTGGGCTATGATCTAGACGTGCACCATCCGTGTGTGGCTAGTAAGCCCTTGAAATGTGGCTAGTACGAAGTGAGATATGCTGCGAGCATAAAATACACTCTGAATTTCAAAGACTTAGTATGAAAAAAAAGAACATAAAATTTCTCGTTAATGATTTTTATACGAGTACATATTGAAATAACATTTAGGAGCTCACATCTATTTCTACTGGACAGCACTGTTCTAAATCCTCTTCCTCATCAACTTTCTCTCTTCCTCATCTTATCTAGTTCCATAGTTTTACATACAACATGTATGTTGACTCCAAAATCTAGACCTCTAACTGACCTCTCATTTGAAATCCAGATTTACTTATCCATACTATCAGGAATCTCAGGATTGAAATGTTAAAAATGGAATTTTCTATTTCATCCAGCCCCATTATATCAGTTGCTAAGTTTCCCATCTCAAGCAATGGTACCATTATCTGTCCAGTTGGTCAAGCCAGAACTTGAGTCATCCTTGATCACTCAGTCTCCCTTACCCACTCCATCCAATCTTCCAGTAAGTCTTGTCAGTTTCACCTTGGAATTACATTTTGAGTTGCATCCATTTTTATTCATCTCCACTGCCACTACCCCAGTCAAAGCCAAGACCATCTCCTACCCAGACTACTGCAACACTTTCCTAACGCTCTCTTTGCTTCTGATCTTGCACCTATTATAGTCTCTGCTCTATACCTCAGTGACCTTTTATATATAAACCAGATCATGTCATTTCTCTACTTAAACCTGCCAATGACTGACCATTGTACCTAGAATAAAACCTACCGTAGTTTGCAAGGTCCAGCAGAAGTCTGATCCCTCCTTATCTCCCTAACCTCATTCCATACCACTCTTTTCCCTTTTTATAACAATCTCCTACCTCACTGGCCTTCTTTCCATATGTCAAATTCGTTAGAGCCTCAGGCCCTTTGTATGGGATTCTTCCCTCTGTCTCAAATGCTCTGCTCCTGGGGTTTTGTATGGGTGACTCCTCTCCATCCATCAGACATCAATTCAATTATTGCCACCTTAGAGAGACCATCCTTGCAAGTGGCCTTCTGTCCTAGTCACTTTCATCTAATTAGACTCACACACTCTCTCTTCCTTCCTCTTTCTTTTGCTGAAGGTTTTGTGTATCTGTTTCCTTTTTGGTGTCTGTCTCCTTTTACAAGTATAAGCTTTTCAAGAGCAGGGACCTTGTGTATCTTACCTGCACCTGAAGTCTCAGCACCTGGTATAAAGCCTGGTCCAGAGGAGGCACGAGAAATAGTTTTGAGTGATAAACTGCGAAATAAATACTAATCAGGTGGATTTTTTAAAAGAAAGAATGAAACTATTTTTGGAAAAAATAGATATATTTAGAATGAATAATATGGAGGCCTAATAGATATTAATCCCTTCCTGTATTGAGCTTGTCATGTTCAGCAAATATTGAGGCCCTGGCATTTGCAAGGCATACTCTTCCTCCCTCAGAATTGGGGGGAGCAGAGAAAATAGTGAAACACAGAGGCTGAGAGGCATGGGGGAGGGATGACATCAAAGTAGAAAAGTGGGTGGGCTGGGGGGAGGTCCAGGGCGAGTGCTGGCTCAGCACAGAAGAGCTCCTGATTTCTTGGCCTAGATTTTGGCTCCAGCACGACCCATGGCTGTATTTCTTTAGAATCTGGGTCAGTACACATAGTAGGTTTTCAATTAGTGTTTTTTGGAAGAATGAATACATTCATTTATGAATTGTAAAGAAACTCAGGAAAAGTAAAGTCTTGAAATTTCTGGCCTTGGATGATACTGGAAGTATTTAGGAAGCAAATGAAAAAGAATGCACACAAACTGGAAATTATGAAACAGAAACAAGGTTGAATTGGCCACGTGAAGGTACACTAGCCCAAGGATTTGGGAATAAAAGAAAAATATCTTCTTGTCCTGCTCCACGCCCCCAGAGTTCAATCAACCTTGGAGTTCCTGTTGACATCAGGAGAGGATTCCAAATACACAAATCAGGAAAACAGAGGGAGGAAAATCTTTGAATGTTAAACAACAAAAATATCCAGCTTGAGGACTTCTCATTTTTTCAATCTAAATTAGATATACTATGACATATAAAAGAAAACTAACGATGGTGCGAAGCACAAATGTATTACCTGATTGCGACAATACCAGACAGATAAATCTGTATCCAGATTGTAATTCTGCTGGGGTCTATTTTAGGGAGCTTCTGGATTTGAATCTCAAAGTGATATCTGCAAAAGAGATAGTAATCTGTGCTCACATAGCACTTTTCATCCAAAGGTCTCAAAGTGCTTTACAAAGAAATAAGTATTATTATCCCAGATGGAACAACTTAGACAGAGGGACTGCTTGCCTTGTCAGCAAACTGGAGAGCGGAAGCTGTTGGACTCCTGCCACAGCCCTAAGCTATAAATTATTGAATCACATCTTCCCTTGATTGGGGACTAGGACTACCAATGATGTGACTTTTTTTTTTTTAATATGAAGTAGAACATCAGGTTCTACCCTTGAGAATTTTAGCATGTACTCAAAACATGAAAACAGAAGGTTTTATAACTGCTGAATTTGGGAACCAGAGTAGCTACTTAAAATAAGAAAAGTGGTTGTCCTAGTCAGACTAATAATAGCTCACATGTACTGAGCATTATTCTAAGTGGGCTATATGTATTTTATTTAAGACTTGCAACAATTTCAGTGAGGTAGGAACTATTACCACTTTACCCATTTTACAGCTGAGGAAACTGAGACGGAGAAATCAAGTAACTAGGCCGAAATGTCAGGTAAGCGAGAGGCAGAACTGGGATTCAGGTGTAGGCGGGCTGAGTCCATTGCCCACACTCTTAACCAGTGACTCTGTGCCCAGTACTGAGAGGTATTTTGCGCAGTCATCTCACTGAAGCCTCACAAAACTCCTACGAGTTAGATGTAGTATCATCCTAGTTTTACTGGGGGGGTGGGGAAAGTAAGGCTTAGAAAGGCGAGGTGACTTGACCAAACTCACATTCCAGTAGGGGTGGAATCAGGATTGTGAAATGTAGCTGGAAGAGCACTAGACAAGGAGTCAGGATTCAGGGCTGCTTCTGCCACTAACGAGACCGTGTGACCTCGGGCAGATCAACTAGTATCTGTGGTCTCTATGACATGGGGCCACATGGATGCTGAAGTCCCTCCCAGTGCTAATACTCTCAGATTCTCAGTATCTGTTTTCTATTTAGTCCCTTGTCTGAAAATCCTGGAAGGAACAGAAATTAACCACACAGAACCTGAGAGAGACTGTGGAAGCCAAATTTAGAAAACAGATCTCAAACAGAGAAAAAAGAAGTTTACAAAATTCTTTGTTTAAAAAATGAGACCGTCCTGCAAAGTGTTTGGCTTGATTTGTGAGATTCGGTGGCCACATCAAGGCCATACACAACTCCTTGACTAGCCAGATCTCCTGGACATGTCCAGTCATGTGACCTGGTACAACGGACATTTCTGGCCACTGAATTGGCCAAAGCTGGAAGAAGCCCACGTTGTGTGGGAGGAGGGATCTGGGAGAAAAAGCCAAGCTTTTCATGTGGGTGTTCTATCTTGAATTCAGAATGTCTATACCATTCTGTCTACTTCTGTTTTTGCTCTCAGTGATTATTACATAGTGACACAGTCCACTGCTACCCTGAACCAGTTTTTCATAACCTGGTGGGGCGCCACGGTGCAGCGCACAGGTCTGGTCTCCATTTCTCCATGTGGTTCTGTTCAAAAGTGTGAGTTTAATTCAGAGGAAACAACATCATTATCTCAAAGAGGTATCTGTCCTCCCATGTTCACTGCAGCATTATTCACAATAGCCAAGCTATGGAAATAACCTAAGTGACCATTGAAGGATGTATGAGTGGGTAAAGATGGGATATATATGTATATAGATATCCATTACTTATTAATATATATTTACTACTGTTCAGCCTTAAAAGAGAAGGACATTCTGCCATTTGCAACAACATTGATAAAACTGGAGAACATCATGCTAAGTGAAATAAACCAGACCGAGAGAAACAAATACTGCATAGTATTATTTATACATGGAATTCTAAAAAAAAAGAAAAGTTGGACTCATAGAAACAGAGACTAGAATGATGGTTGCCAGGGGCTGGGGAGTCGGGGAGAGGGAAAAGTTGTAAAAGGACACAAACATTTTTTATAAAGTTATAACATGGTGACTATAGTTGTATTGTATAACAGTATTGTATAATTGAAATTTGTTAAGAATGTAGGACTTAAGTGTTCTCACCAAAAAAAAAAAAAGAAAAAGGTAAACGTGAGGTGATGGCTGTGTTAATTAATTCAATCGTGGGAATCCTTTCACGATGTATACATATATCAAACTATCACCTTGTACACTTTAAATATAATTTTGTCAAGTGTACCTCAATAAAGCAGAAAAAATAAAGAGAGAAGAGAAAAAAAATAAATGAAACCAAAAAAACACACAAAAACCCCAGAAGGATGAGCTCAACTTGTTGTTAAATCTTGGCCCTATCAGTAGCTTTGTGATCTTGGGAAATTCTACCAGTGTCTTAATTTTCCTCATCTTTTTGTAAAATGATACCTATGTGTTTTGCTCTCCAGTGTTGTAAATTTCAAATAAACTTCAAATTTCTGACATTGGTGAGAATAGTTTAGAGAGATTAGACCTCTCAGATCACAGTGCAGTGAGGCTGAGACCCTCTCATGCCTAGAGACGTGGGGGTGGTGTGCACAAAGCAAGCCTGAATGGGAATTGCAGTTTCCTGTCATTTGGGCCAAGTTATTAAGCCTTTGTAAGTCTCTTTGATTTGTAAAACACAAAGCTGAGGTACGGAAATACAGACATGAAGTTCCACATATAACAGGACATTAATAAATGGTAGTAGTATTAATTTTATTATCAAATTTTGAATTATGATGAAGAGTTAGAAGGTTCAGTATGCTAAACTTTATTTGCTAAGACATGCATACTAATTCACTTTGATCCCCAGGAAGAAGCCAATATAGAATTGGATTGTCCTTCTAGGACACCAAATATCCTGTTCTTCTATACTAAGTGGCTGAGGCTGATTCTGGAATCTTACCCTCATACACATCATACCTTGAGGAAATCTGGACAGGTAACTCTTCCCTTTAGAAGACTCTACCTAAGTCCCCACTTTCTGTGGCTGCAGGAATTCTAGTAGACAGCTGGGATCTCCAAACATACCTTTGTGTTTTAAAGAGGATAAAATTATAATGCAATAATTCCCAACCCTTTTTAACACAAGAATCTTATTTTAAATAAATAAAAAAGTCATGGAATCCCATAGAATTACAGTCTATTTTAAGTAGCTTCTGATTGAGAAAATGCATGATAAAAATTCAGCAACAGTAAAAAACTGAAGGATCCTCTCTTAAACATTATTTTGAACAGGTAGTATATGAACTAACACAAAATTCACAAGGTACAAAAAGGAACACCATAAAAAGTATCCTTCTTGCACTCCATTCCTCAGTTACCCAGTGTCTGTCCTAGAGCCAAATGTTGTTTCTATTTTTTCTGTGTCCTTTCAAAAGTAGTCTATGCTCTACAAATATTTGTATATTTATCCTCTAAAAAAAACTCCAAATGGCAGCATATCTTACCACTCTTCTTCATACTTAACAATGCCTTGTTATACCTGAAAATGGATAGGTGAAAAAGAGAGAGAACAGAGATTTTTATTCATTACAATGCACCTACTTTGAAATATTGAACAGCATATTTTTAATATGCAGAAAGTCCTAGTGCACAATGACTACATGCCACTTAGAGATTCTCAGCTTTTAGTTTGGAAACCACAGGTATAAGTAAAGTATCAATAATAGTCAACATTAATTTTAGCCCTTCCTCTACACCAGGCATTGTTATAAGCACTTTACACTTACTATCTCATATAATCCACATCATTCAAATCCTTCTAGTCTTATTTTTAATGTTATCTCCTCATAGAAGCTTGCCCTTATCCAAGGATACCTACCCTGTCCCCTTCCCATTATTCCCTATCATTTCATCCTTTTTATTTCCTTCAGGACACAAATCACTGTAAGTAATTAGTTACCTATTCATCTACTTGTTTACCATTGTCTCCCTAACTAGAGGATGAGCTTTGAGAGCAGAGGCAAGAAGTTCGGGTCACTGCCACCCAGTAACCACTGCCCAGCCTCAGTGCTTGGCACAGAGGAGCCAATCAATTGGATGTTTACTGAATAAGTACATAATGAGCAGGAAACAACTTTAAGAGGTAGACCCTATTATCTCCATTACACGGATGAGGACACCAAGGCCAAAGAGGGAAAAACTCATCCCAAAGTTAGTAAGTTACAAAATCAGTTTGAAACCCAGCTCTGCTTGACTCCAGAGCACAGTCTTTTCACCACTACTTCTGGTCTCAGAAACAGAAGATCGACTACAGTCCTGGCTACATGTGATCTTGAGTTAGTCCTTGTTCCTCCCTGGGACTCTTTCTTCCATTGAAAACTGAGAGGGTAGAGTTAGCAACCTTCCTTATAGTGATGGTCTGTGATATATGAGGCTGTGATCTATGAAGAGTAAAAGGGGGACATTGAAGGAGCCAACAAGATTGGTTTGATGCCTTTAAGAGAGTTGATTTTCAGTTCTTTCCTTCTTTCCCTCCTTCCTTCACTGATGGATGTCCCTTATGGTTAGGGATCCAAAGACTCATAGGATCTAGTCTCTGACATTAAGGTGCCTGGCCTGATGGGTCTAATGCAGACACTAATAGCTACTGGAAGTACAGTATAGGTCAGTGCTGTAATAATAATATGTGTGAGGCACTTGGTAACACGTGTTACCATGGGGTGGTGGGGATGGAGCTGGATGTGAATGAAGGGAAGGATGAGGTATTCTGCTGAGCTGGGTCTTGGGGAAAGAATAGTTTTCCAGGTGGACAAGATGGAGGTGAGGCTGCCTGGACACACGGACGTATATGCCAAAGCAAGCTGAGAAACAGCACAGTGTGCTGAGGATTGCTGGGGCGGAGGCTGGCCCCCAGAGTATGGAGCTGGCGAGGCAGAGAGAGCCCATGAGGAGTCATGCTGAAGAGTGCGGGCTTAACTCCTGAGAGCAGTAGCACGGCCAAATCATTTACACTTGAATTTTAGAAAGATCATTCCGGCAGTGGTAGGACTGGGGAACGGTGATGGGGTGAGACACAGGAGGCTACTTAGGAGGCTTGTGGCAGACATGGTGAGAGATGATGAGCATTTGGACCTACGGTGTTCACAGCAGAGTTGAAGAGGAACTAGATATTTAATCGGACATTTTTTTTAAAAGGTAGGGCCAAAGGACTTGGTGGTTGATTGGATGGGGGAGAATATGAAACTAGGACTAAGGGACTTGTTGGAATGGACTGGGTGGCCACATATAAAATGATGCCATTACTAAATATAGGGAATTTGAAGTGGGGTGGCAGCAAGAATGTGGCCGGCTTTGGACATGTTAAGTTTGAGGTGCCTCTTCAGTGGCCAAGAGGAAATGTCTTACTTAGCTCCCTTCCTCCTTTCCAGAATAGCATCCCTAGTGCAAGTGGGGCATCCTTGGACCAGTCTTGCAGGGCTCGGTCAGGTATTCCATTCTCTAAGACTTCACTGAAATTCTGAGCCCCAGTTCTTTCAAAGATAGAGGCTGCGTATTGAAAACTCCCTGGGGCCTTACTGATAGAAGAAGGGGTTGTGGACTTGTTTTCTAAAATCAAATGCTGGCTCCAGTGGATCAAACTCTCCGCCTCTTGCCCAAGCCCCAGACATTTAAAAGAAAACATTTTCCTACGGAGCAGCCTCTGGCCCTGACAGGCTGTGGCTCTCAGGTCTGCTCCCGGGAAGACCCCGCTTCCCTCAGGGAGCAGCCTTGTAAAAGAAGATGAGGTCGTACAGCGCCCAGCCTTCCCTGCCCGACCGCTGGGGATGCCCACGGCCTAAGGGACTGGCCCTCGCCCAGCCAGCATCCCCGGTCAGCGGCCTCGGCGCCAGCACGACTCCAGGTGGCCCGGCCCTCCGAGCTGACGGGACCGGGGTCCTCCCCACCTCACCTCGGATCTCCGGCGCCCGCCGGGCGGTGGCGGGCCGGCCGTAGGGTCCCTGGGGAGGGCCGCCCTGGGAGCCGGACCCACCCGGCGGCCGCCCGGCGTGCCCCTCCCGTCACGGGACGGAGCCGGCCATCGCTTGTCCCCGTTGCGCGCACCGCGCGCTGCCCGCTGCCCGGCGGGCAGCCCCGAGGGCCAGGACGGGCCTCGCGCGCGCCCTGCGGGCTCCCAGGCGGGCGCTGCACCCGCGCAGCCCTGTGGCCCCTGCGGGAGCTGCGCTCCGCGCTCCTCGGGGGCAGAGGGGGCGCGAGAGAGCAAGTGGGCGGGCGTCCTGCGCTCCGCAGCCTCCGCCCGGTCGTGGCGCGCAGGGTGCGAGCGCCGCGCGGCTCCGCGCTGCGCATCGCGGCCCGCTCGCCGCCTGCCCCCGGCCGGGCTGGGCACCTCCCCGGGCTGCCGGCGGAGGGCTGCGAGGCGCCGGCGTTACGCTGTTTCCGGTTTTCTAGCGGGCTGTTTCCCCTCCCAAGGCGGCGGCGGAGCGGCGGAGCCCCCCAAATGGCCTGGCCAGATGCGGCAGGTTTGCTGCTCAGCGCTGCCGCCGCCGCCCCTGGAGAAGGCTCGGTGCAGCAGCCACAGCCACAGCAGCAGCGGCAGCGGCAGCAGCAGAGGCAGCAGGAGCGGCAGCGGGAGCGGCAGCAGCAGCGGCAGCAGCAGCCCCAGCCACAGCAGCAGCAGCGCCTCCCGTCCCGCTGCGCCGCCCGAGCCGCGGCCGCCGCGACAGCCGCAGCCCCGCAGCCCCGCAGCCCCGCGAGCCGCAGCCGCCGGCGGCATGAGGCGCGACCCGGCCCCCGGCTTCTCCATGCTGCTCTTCGGTGTGTCGCTCGCCTGCTACTCGCCTAGCCTCAGGTCGGTGCAGGACCAGGCGTACCAGGCGCCCGTGGTGGTGGAGGGCAAGGTGCAGGGGCTGGTCCCGGCGGGCGGCCCCGGCCCCAACGGCACCCGCGAGCCGCCCGCCGCGGGCCGCGTGGCGCTGGTGAGGGTGCTGGACAAGTGGCCGCTGCGCAGCGGGGGGCTGCAGCGCGAGCAGCTCATCAGTGTGGGCTCCTGCGCGCCGCTGGAGAGGAACCAGCGCTACATCTTTTTCCTGGAGCCCACCGAGCAGCCCTTAGTCTTCAAGACGGCCTTCGCCCCGCTCGACACCAACGGCAAAAACCTCAAGAAAGAGGTGGGCAAGATCCTGTGCACCGACTGCGGTGAGTCGCCCCCTCCCTCCGCGGGTCCGGGGGGCGCGAGGGGGCGGGGACGCTGCAGGTGCCCGGGCCTGGGGGCCGCCTGCCAGTCCTGCGCGGCGGGGAGGCCGGGAGGTGCCGGGCGGGGGCGGGGGCGCTGGCCTGTGCCGGGGGGTCCGCGGCTGCTTGCGGCCTGTGCAGCTGGACGGCTGCCTCGCAGCCCGGCGGCAGGACAAACGGGGCGGCGCTGGCCAGGCTCAGCGAGCCGGGAGTGGCCCTCGGAGGCCTTGCCCGCTGTTCCCGCGGGCCTGCCTGCCCAGGCGGCCGGGGTCTGCAGGCGCCGTGGGCACACTCCCGGGCCGTTCAGGCCTCCCGTGCAGGTTCTCCGGGGGAAAGGCGGCCCCCGCCCTCCTTCCTCTCCCGGGCTCCGCTCTGCTCCCCACACCGCTGGCGCAGACAGAGTTGACTTTTCCTGATACTGTATTCCGTGCGTCCTCCGTGAGGCTCGGATTTTTTCTCCGGCGTGAATGCCTGTCTTGGCTAGGCGGGTAGCACAGCCTCCTCTTAACCTCCGGGACTAGCGAGCAGACACCTCTTTGGCTGCGTTTGGGAGATCTTACTAGTCCTGTTGATTGTGATGACGGTGAAATAGAGTAACTTCTGCTGAACGCTGTTAAGTTCAGCTCTGACATCTTACTGGCAGGATGTGTGGACTGCATCTCATCTTCATGATGTTGGGTGCTGCACAGGAATGCAGGTGATTAGAAACAAAAACTGAAATCTGTAGAACTGTGCAGCTGGGAATGGAGGTCTCCCATGTCAGAAGTCAAAGAAATGTCAGTTTAAGCACTTTTCCCTTTTGTCCCTGAATTCAGTACTTACTGTTCATTGTTCATTAAGGCAGTTCAAATCAAACTGTCCCCTTTACTGGAGAATTTGGTCTTAGCTTGTCTTGTGTTTACTCTGTTCAACTTGGGGTTTCATTTTGTCCCAACTGAGGCTGAATTTGGTACTTGCAGTGTGACTCTGAGCTGTGAAATCACTGAATTGTGATAGATGTCCTGGGCTGTCACTGAAGTTGGCATGTTTACCAGTCTACCAACTGATTCTGGGTAGTGTAGATATGAGTAGCAAAGAATGTGTAAGAGCTCATAGGAAGTTTTGCTGCCCTCATCTTTCTGGATCAATGCTTTCCTTCTTTCTCCTATCCCCCACCCCTCACCCCTGTCCTTCAAGAGACAAATTTTAGTTTAGTGGGGGGAATATATCTAGGCATTGATCCCTTTACTTTAATTGGAAGAACCTGGCAGTATCTTAATAAGGAGGAGAAAAACTTTGGTGATAACTGCAATTTATCTCTGACATTGTTCTGGGGAATACTGTTAACTGCTCTTTCATGTTGGTTTTATGCTCTGAAATGTTTTACGATAACAAGTTGTGACCAGTGAAGAATTTCTCATTTTTCATTCTGTTAAGTATTTTATCTGAGATCCCTTGGGGAGCTGTGGAAATGTATTGTACAGTGGGAAATAGATAGTAAAAACATTTATTGAACCTTGTCCAAGGACAGCTTCTGTTTTTGGTTTGCTCCTGAATATGCACAGTGCACATTGCCACACAATCCCCAGTCTAGTCCCCTGAGACCCAGTGGTCATTGTCAGATAATCCCCTGTTCTCCTCATCCTCCTCCTTTTTTCCCTTTGCCCTATCAATTATAATTCCCCCATGAAATATAATTGTTTTAGTGAGCATTTAAGAGTTTAATAGTTGAATGTAGAGATCACGCGTGAACGATTGGGAGTCAGAAATATAGTCTGCTTTTAGGTTATGATCGTCTCATATTATTAAAAAAGCATGTGTGTAGCACAGTTCTCAGATAAATTTAGGACCTCAATCACTGCTAAAGGGAAGGCCTGCACACCTCACAAATCAGCAAGGAGCAGAAATGTATACAGAAGTAAACATTTTAGAATGCAAAGATTTTTGCTGTGAACTGATAGTGTATAGATGTGAGTCTCTGGGTAGGGGGCTTTATATATGAGGATTAGAAATTAAAGGATGTATTTGGGAGAAGAAACTTGTGGAACAAATGATAACAGGACAGAAGAACATAAACTGCATTTTTTTATTTTCTACTATGTGGCTAAAGAAAACATGCACTGGTGATGGTATATTGAATAAGGAAATAAAATCATCCTAACTAACCACAACACCTTCCTTGTGCTCAGCAGGAAATAACTAACAAATTCATTTTCTGTTTTCTATCTCTAAAGAAAGCCCTCTGGGCCACAGGGTCACTGGGAACATTTTCTCCTTGGAGCAGATTTGCCCATTGCAAAATAGGGAAACTGGCACTTGGAAACTGTCATCGTCGCCATTATATTGAGCAACTGTGGGTGAATTGTTACTTTGTTTAGCAGTTTCAGGTCTGAGTATGCCTGGGTTCTGTGTTTTGGTGATCATCTAGAAAGCTGTGTTTTGGTGGGCCAGGAGTTTGGACTAATGTGCCATTTCAAGGGATATATTCTGTTTACTTGTTAGCATATGTTTCTGTAACACCAATGCAGGGGTCATACTGGACCCTTCTAAAAGGGTCTCACAAATGGCTAATTTCTCTGCAACTGTTTAATGTTGATTTGAAGCCAGTGAAAGTGTTGCTGGAATAGCAGTATCTGCCAGAGGGGCATTTTTATAGAACTACTGTGTATCATCCATCCAAAATTACTACCTCCAATAAAGAGTTGAGTAAAAATATTTGCATTTCTAAAAAGATTGCATACATGGAGGCTGCTTTCTGTGCCTTCTGAGAAAAGCAGAGGAAAAAGAGCAAGAAAGGACTCTTAGGGATTAGCAAGTCTGTGCAGTGTTGTGAAAGCATCCTGTTCTGCAAATAGTCCTGCATTTTTAATGATGGTTGCATATATTTTTGTATAATCACGCCCTATCTTGTTGCTTTCCTCTATATATGGTCTAAAGCAGTTTCCTTATTGAATAGATACAGGACATAGCATTAAAAAAGAAAGATTAATTCTAACTTTGGGACTTTTTGATTTGCAATTTTCTTCCAATGTATGGTGTACTTTGCTGTTAAAGACAGAAAAGGTGTATTCCCCCAGGACTTTACATTCTTTAGGATAATTTTTAATTAATCTGGTACTCAGATTCACATATTAGAGGAAGGTGGTTCACAAAATTCAGTATAGCAAAAGTGACTGCATATTTTTTAAATGCTGTTTATTTAAAGAATCTTTTCTTTCCAGCCAGCTGGGAACCCAGCTGTGCTGCAGCTTGAAGATAGGAAAGTGAAACTGGATTAGAAACTGACCGGTCCTGGGGCTTAGGACAAAGATGGGTTGGAGATTCAGGGGTAGAGTTACCATTGCAATGTGATTATTTCTCTGAGTGGCTGCTTTCCTTTTTGGGAGGAGCAGAAGCTATATCATATCTTTGAGATCTTATTTCTCCTACCTCTGCTGCCCCCCGGTGTTTGGTACCATTCTTGGTTCATAGAGGGACTCTCATTAAGAGTCTTTTGAATGGACTAAGTCAAGTGAAGTTAAACAAGCAAGCCTCCAGATTAATACTAAAACAACCTTAACTCTGATCTGTGACATGAAGTCCAGTGAAGAAAAGCTGAGTTTGATGATAGCCTTTACCTGTCGCTGTGGGAACCTGTTTTTCACCCCAGGCATCGGTTATCAACTAGAGTACTTAACCACAATGTGCTTAATCATTGTGCTGATTAGTGTTAATGGGATTTGAGCAGTAAAGAATAAAGGTCTTGATGGAGAAGACCCCCCACCCCCACCTTTTTCTCCTTTTTCTGCGAGTAGATTACCACTCTCCTTCCCCCATGTTTAAACAAAAATAAAACAACACACTCAGTTTGGATGAACAGATGTTTTGGGAGCTAGAGAGCATATGGTATATTAACTAACGAGGCGACTAACTTCCTCTTGGTCCCAAACCTCCATTAACATCCTTTATTATCTAGGACATTTTAATTTTATTTCCCAATGGCAAATACATTCTTAGCTTTTCTTTTTATTAAGTTGTATTTGTATTTTTGAATATGTAACACATTTATATGGCTCAAAATCCAGGAGGTTCATAAGAAGACAGGGTGAAAAGACTTCCTCTCAACCCTGTCCTCAGCCACCCAGCTCTGAGGCAATTGCAAAATAATATATTCCTGAAATGTGTATTTCTCTAAAAGCAAAATGTTTTTCAAAGTAGTCTTATATTTTTCTCTTAACAGATGGAGAATATAAATTTTGCCACTAAGCCAATTTTATGGTAAATTCTTCCCATTGAATACATATTTATTTTGTTAACCTAACCTAAGATCTTAACCAGTACCCTACCTCCCAAATAATACTCTAGGATCAGAAATAAAAATATCAACTTAGTTTTCAGATACTTTGCCATTAAGACGATTTGTATGACAATGAATTTTGTGAGAGTCTTAACTGGAATGCTCAAAGGAGAGGTCCAGGGGTCTGTCCCTGAGCCATAGGGCTGCAGTTCTGCACATGCAGCAGTCCCTACTGTTCCCCACTCTTGGTAAGCTCACAATAGCATCCATGTGGGGAATCACGTGATTCCACAGATGGAAAGAGAAAACCCCACAGGACAGGATTGCTTTGATTTCCATTTAGAAGCCAAAGACTCCAGTTGCTGATAAGAGTTTGGTTTTGACCATATTCATGTACAGCTGGTACGATTCCAAGGGGAATGAGCCACTGGAATATTATTTTGAAGTACATTTAAGGTAACTGATTTGAACATAGTGTTAAAATTTCAGAGGGTCAGAAAGTTGCCATTTGAATAAGTGGTAAAAAAGGAACTCTGCAAATCTAAAGAGTGACAAGTCTTCACCCTCTAAATCCTGTTGGCTTCATGGCACTTGGCAGTTTTCAACGCTGAGGTGGAAAAAGGATGATGGTGTCAGTATCAGTGATGTTTCCCCTCCACAGTCTTCAACAACTCGTTCTGGAGTTTTTCTTTTCAAGATCCGGAGTCTG